GCCACCACGGCATTCGGGAATGCTCTGGGCCGCGGGAAAAATTGCCGATGTTTAGTGTTAACTTACGTATCGAAAATAACTAATAAACTTACTTTCTAAACCTTATATAGAATTACCCGAGGGTCCTTCGATATATTTCCTTAGAATTAAACTTATATAATAAATTCAGTAATTACTTCATTATCGTTCTTTAATACCGTAGTAAGCCGACTAATTAGAATAAGATCGCTATAGTCCTTAGTATCGGGGTACAGTTAGGGATTCCTTGGCAAGTAGGCAGAGTCTAACGATAAGCGTATATATAAGTTATCCCTATAGTATATGGTCGATACTGTACACGACTCTAAGCATGAGAGAAGAAGGAATGCGCCTCTCATGCGGGGAGTATACTAGTAATAAAGATACACCCCCTGAGTCGCATCAACGCTTGGCTGGTGGCCTGATCGTTATCTGAGATATTAGGAGTCCGTTGTTCCGATGTTTAGCCGAATCCGTGACAGATACATCTATAGTACCTCGTGCTTACGGGAGATAATAGTATTCTACGCTAACTTACGACTCTATTGAACTGGGGCGAGGCTACTAGCCATGGGCGTTAACTCGTACGGCGGTGGGATAGCCTCTTCACAGCACGCACACTCAACCAAAGGAAGTTCTCCCGTTCATAAGTTGATTGATTATTCTATGTGTGGAATATCGCCCTCTAAAGGTTTATATTAAACCTTTAGTCACGTGATTAAATACGAAGTTTAAGTTCGTATTTAGACCTAGGGTCTATGAAATCACGTGACTAGTGCGATATTAATTCCGCACTCTATTAAATGATTAGTCGTACTTACTAATGTTGATTTGAAATCAACATTTTAAGGGTCTTAACTGTGGACACTTATTGTCTATATGTTCAAAGGACTTAGAGAACTATCTAATGTATAGATAGTAAGGCTCATATAGATCGTAAACCTTATAGGTAGGTAAGTGACTATTAAAGAACTTGAAGATAACTATTTACCTAGGGAGGGTAAAGGTCTTTATATAGACAATAAGTGTCCACAGTTAAGACCCTTAAAATGTTGATTTCAAATCAACATTAGTAAGCACGACTAATCATTTAATAGAGTGCGGAATTAATATCGCACTAGTCACGTGATTTCATAGACCCTAGGTCTAAATACGAACTTAAACTTCGTATTTAATCACGTGACTAAAGGTTTAATATAAACCTTTAGAGGGCGATATTCCACACTATATAAAGACCTTTACCCTCCCTAGGTAAATAGTTATCTTCAAGTTCTTTAATAGTCACTTACCTATCTATAAGGTTTACGATCTATATGAGCCTTACTATCTATACATTAGATAGTTCTCTAAGTCCTTTGAACACTATGAATGATAGTCCCCGATGACTATATAAGAAGAACCTTAGTCTAGCGTCGACGCCCCAGCCAATCATAAAGCTATCCCCCACTTCAAACTTCTCCCATTACACTATTTAATGACTTTAGACGAAATATTAGAACTCTAAATTTACATATACTCATAAGATACTTAACCTTTAGATTCTTCGGCTCTTCTATATATACTATATATAACTAATGCGTAGAGCGCTATCAACCGTTCATTAGAGTCTGATAACTTAGAGTCTATAGTAGCGAAGTGTTAGGAATTTCTTGGCAAGTAGGCAGAGTCTAGCGATGAGAGTGTATAGATACCCCTATAGTATATGATTGATACTGTACACGACTCTAAGCATAAGAGAGGAAGGAGTGCGCCTCTCATGCGGGGAGTATGCTAGTAATAAGCGCTCCCTGAGTCGCATTAACGCTTAGCTGGTGGCCTGATCATTATCTGAGGTATCAGGCGTCCGTTGTTCCGATGTTTAGCCGAATCCGTAACACGAAGAGCTACTGAAGTTAATCTTTCAATGTAGAGGGTACAGGAATATCTGGAGACCAGATGGTGTTCGCTACTGCCATCTTTGTACGTCCGCTTAAAAAAGGGAATGGCTTAATTTCCGTCTAGAGTAATGACTTCTGTAAATAAGCGGAGAAGCGTATGTCTAGGCAGCAGGATTTTTTTTTTTTTTTTTTTTTTTTAAATGAATCAATATATTGGGAATAGGACAGTAATCAATTATGGCTGGGCCGGTCAAGGAATCCAACCTCATGCGGCCGGATATACCAGGGTGGACTATGCCGAAAGGACAGTGCTGAGAGATTGAGGCGGCGTTCTTTTAGTGGGGATTTCCCGGATCAAGTTAGAATACCAAAACATAACTCGGGGATAGTATTGAGCTCTACTTGGTGTGGGTTGGGACATGCGGCCACATTTGGACATACATCTCAGTAGAAAATAAAGATTTGAATGTCAGGAAGATGGTTCCTTGAGCGCTTGGTGCTAGCGCCAAATGTGACAAAAGGCGCAATTACAGTTAACAAATCCCAGGACTTCGTCGTTGCGTCAAAGACTTACTCCACAATCCGGCGTCCTAAGAACACTGTACCCCGAAAAGTGAAACCTAGTTCGACGAATAAATAAAAGAGGGCGTATTTCAAGTTCAAAAGCTTTTCTGCCCGGAGCGAGTGCTCGCTCCGCATTGAAACCCGAAGGGCCGTGTAGTACTGGGTATAGAAGCGAGCATAGTGCTGCCCCCGAAGACGGTCGGATTTCTGGAGGCCTCCTTCCGAGCAGTAACCGGGATTAGCCTATAGTGTGTTTCCGTGTAGCCATCCTGGAGCAGGCCACATTATCGTGATCGACAGCTCCTTCAATTAAACATTTCGTGCTCTTCAAGTACCCCGTATCCTCCCCATACAGCATGTCGAAATCTTGCATCGGCACATAAAATTTTGTAGCACCCGGATTAGGCCCTTTTGATCTCAAAATCAAGCCCCAGCTTGTAGTTTCGTCGAGATGATGCTCCTCTTTTCCTGGAATATTCTCAGAAATGGGAGTTTGTCGATGACTCCCACTACGGCGCTTTACCTCCTCTGCCTTGCTCCGATTCTTGGGGTATTGATCCGCGCACTTCAGAGCGGCCATCGAAAGAGAGGCACTCCTCCGGGACCCCCCACCCTTCCTCTAATCGGCAATATCCATCAGATTCCAGTAACGAGGATACATGAAAGGTGATTTTTACCGCTTGCCATTGCCTCTTGTTCATCAAACATGCTAACATGCATGCCAGCTTTAGTAAATGGTCTCGCCAATATGGGATGATTTTCTCGTTGAAATTCGGCCCTGGAGACGCCATAGTGCTCTGCGACCGAAAGGCTGTCCATGATCTCTTGGACAAGAAGGGCAATGTTTATTCGGATCGCCCTGAACCGCACGTGGCAGAGCTTCTGGGTGTGAAGCACAATGTCTTCACGACTTCAATGAACAACATGTGGAAGGAGAAGAGAAAGGTTATCGCGCATAACCTTTCGCCAGCCCAGCTAGACAACAAGCACTTCCGAGTCCAAGAGGCTGAGTAAGTGGCCGTTCTGATAAAACTGCAGCCGAGATTTCGGTATGTCTAACAATGAGCATGAATCGTAGAGCCACGGTACTTATGAACGATTTCTTTATTAAGCCCGAAAGTTACCGCGAACACATTCGTCGTTACACAGCATCTATCATCCACGTTCTAATCCATGGATATCGAGCAACTTCCTCTGAGGACTTTTGGGGCCATGTATGAACCTCTTATTGAGTCAAAACGTTAGCTGACTCCTCCGAACAGGCTGTGTATGAAATTATGGAGCGAGTAAGTAACTGCCCTGGTGCATGACTGAAGCGAATATGGACGACTAACGTCTTTGAGCGATCGACATGCCTGGAACCTGGAGCCATTCCCCCGGTGGACCAGTTCCCCTTCTTGAAGTATATACCGGAGAAGTTGGCAAGATGGAAAGGTCAAGCTAGGGATTCCAAAGAGTGGACAGAGAAAATATGGGGCGAAGCGCGAGACCGTGTAGAGAAGCGAAGGGCACGGGGAGATAAACGAGACTGCCTTGCAGACGTTTTACTCGACGACTACGACAGAAACGGTTTCCCGATGAGCCAGACGGAGTTCAACTTGCTTCTTGGGGAAATGATTGAAGGTGGCGCAGATACGTCTTCGTCGGCAATAGCAACACTCCTTCTTGCACTGGCAAAGTACCCTGATATTCAAAAGAAGGCCCAGGGGGAGGTCGACAAGGTGTGCGAGTCAGAAAGGTCGCCGGTGTGGAGCGATTTCGAGAAGCTACCATATATTAACGCTCTGGTGAAAGAGGGTCTGCGATGGAGGCCTGTGTATGTGTACACCCAACCCCCCCGACGCAGCAAAGCCCCTTGTACAGCTGCGCTGACCAGAACAGAGCGCCAACCGGGCTTCCCCACAGAGTGAGACAAGGTATTGGACACTCGAAATCCATGTGCCACGAGATTTTACTGATCCCGTGACTTCCTCGCACAGATGATACCTATAATGGAATGCTTATTCCCAAGGACACGAACATCTTTATTGGTGTTTGGCAGATTCATCACGATGAATCTATTTGGAAAGACCCTGCAACATTTAAGCCGGAACGCTACCTAGGCTACGACAAATTGGCCAGCTATTACGCTGGGAGCAGCGACTGGGCTGGTAGAGATAAGTCAAATGATGGGAACGACGCTAAGTAATAAAGCTGACGAGTATTAGAATATCCACACCACTATGCGTATGGAGCCGGAAGACGTATCTGTCCAGGCATGCACCTAGCAGAGAGGAATATATGGCGAACCACAGCGAAGTTGCTTTGGGCTTTCAACTTTTCTGAGCCGACTGACGGGTCGGGCGCCGTTAAATCGCTGGATACTGAAGCCTACGTCGAGGGTTTAGTTCGAGAACCTCTCCCATTCGAACTCAAGATTGAGCCCAGAAGCAAAGAACACATGGCCACCATCCAAAAAGAGTTGCTCGACACGGAAAAATTCTTACGGGCTTTTGAATAAGTGGTCAGCGGTGTAGACGAGCGGGTAATGGATACGGATACGAAGTTTTGGACTGAGATGATTTTGTTATGAACGATGAACAAGCTCTGGGCAATATACTCGCCCCGACACTGCTTCAACTGCTTTCATCGTACCTGTATCTGCGTGGTATCTGGGCTCGACCTTTCGCGCCAGATATTCTGTTCGCCTTGTGTTGACAGTTCTCCTGTTAACAGGAAGGTCCCTAGAGCGTTTGAGCAGTGCTTAGGGCGTCTCAGGAATAGTGTGGTTTTATTTAAATAATTTAAATACTTTTAGGCCTTATTCACTATTTAAATAGTTAAGATTAACTATTTATATTGTAAATACATATATTTATATTGTAAATACATATATTTATATTGTAAATACATATATTTATATTGTAAATA